CTCCAGACCACAGACAGAGTTCTGACTCCTGTCCTCTGAAGATGCCGGCCACAGAGACTGACGAAACGTTAGGAAGAAAAATCTTAAGAACATGGCCAAACAGCCTGCAAAACCCACAACAATCATTGAATCCTGGCCGTGAAAGCCTTCAAGAATATCTTTGCTGTTACATTTGATTTAACACTAGTAACCCTTGATTGCCTTCCTGATGTACTGGGGAAAAAAACATGAGCTTGAAATGTCATACATTATTGTTTAAAATTGTGTATACTACTATTGTATTAATACTGGCTTATAATACAATTTCATGCCCACTCTCCAAAAGTCCTAATTGATTTTGAAAAAGTCATTCCATTGAATGTTGTGGCATGTGATTAGCAGATTTTTTTAAAAATCATTCTGTGCTTGATCAGTCAGAAATAAGTCCTGCTAATGTCATCATGGCCTTTGGGAGGTGGAGCAAACCTTATTAAATATATGTAGAAGACTGGTGAATATTACACCAAACCTAAGGGGAGGTTATAGACCTCAAACGTATCAGTAGATAATTAGTGGGAATTCTTTTATTGTTTGTGCTAATTCCTGTTCTGCAACAAACTGGATGTTTAAGGGGGAGCTTGAAAATAATTAGGTAAAAAAAAACCCCACTAGTTACCTGTATTTAATTCCTATCCCCAATAATGAAAGTGTAACTGAGAACCATTAGAACTGAGATTTGTGGGGGTTTTTTTGCTATATGACTGTAATTTTTATATTATTTTTATAGTTATCAGGTGGTGGGGTCAGTAGATGGTGGAGGAAGAATATAACATGGTTCTAGCATAGGCTGTGCTGCTGCTTCATACTCTGCTATAGGTACCGAGGCATCAATGAAGGAGAGAGGAATAAAATGGTAGCACAGGCCAGTGGTTGTAGCCTTCAAAGTTGTTTAAGGAACTAAGAAAAAAATGATCTCAGTTATTTTTGAAAACTGGGAGAGTAAAGAGATTATATGACTATTCTAATGGTCACTTTCTGAACCTCAGAATGGAATAATTGTAACGAATTACATTTGAAGGTAACATTTAATCCACCTACTGTGTCCTTTCCTGCCATTCGCCATTTGATTTCCTACTGCTGTTTTAGGTACCGGATAATGACCCAGTGCTGGCAACACCAGCCTGAAGACAGACCAAACTTTGCCATAATACTGGAAAGGATTGAATACTGCACTCAGGTATTCGAGTTACCATGGCCCTCTCATCTTCTGCTGTCCTATGAAATAACCATATTTGCTCCCCAGCGACGCCTCTGAATTAAGCAGGTTGTTAGTCTGATAGCTTTCGTTGAACCTATCCTCAGTGAATTTGTCCAATCCCTTTAAACTGTTGCAATCTAAAGCAGCAGTAATCACTACGTTCTGGTGGCAAATTTCATAATGCAGGGGTGATGAGTGTGTGGCCCAAAGATACTGTTTAACTACAGGTTCCATCAGCGCTCACCACCTTAAGGGAGTTTCAGGCAACAGCATCTTGAGGGTGAAGTGCTCTCATTCCTGACATAACCTAATGGCATGTTGTGCGAAAGAGAGGCTGGTTGGGTAGTTCAGTGAGATGGAGAACCTGGTTAGAAGCTCAGGGGTTCAGTTCCCTGCTGCGCCTTGTAGAAGAGATAGCATATGTGATCATGGGCAAGCTTCTTTCACGGAGTGCCCACAGAAGAAAGAAAAGATTAATTACTTCTAAATGCCTAGTTGCCCTGAATCAGAACCAGACTGTGTGAAGTGGTAGTTCCTTTCTTTAGTCAATCCTGAATTTTCTGCCCGTCACTGCAACTTGGAAGAGGTTTTTGTGAGGAAATCATAGAATCATGAAGCTTGAAGGGACCTATAAGGCCATCGGGTCCAACCCTCTGCTCAGTGCAGGAATAAAAACCAAAGGATATCTGCCAGGTGGTTGTCTAAGTTTCTCTTGAATGCCTTCAATGTTGGGGCACTCAGCACCTCTTGAGATAATTGGTTACATTGCCATAGTGCTCTTAGCAGTTAGAATGCGTTTCCTGATATTCAACCAGAATCTGGCTTCTTGTAACTTGAGCCCATTGTTGTGTGTCCTGCACTCTGGAATGATTGAGAACAGATCCTGCCCCTCCTCTGTATGACAGTGTTTCAAGTATTTGAGAAGTGCTATCATAACTACCCTGTCTTCTTTTCTCAAGGCTAAACATGCCCAGTTCTTTGAGTCTTTCCTCATAAGGCTTGGTTTCCAGCTTCCTGATCATCCTTGTTGCCCTCCTCTGAAATTGTACCAATTTGTTGGCATCCTTCTTGAAGTGTGGTGTCCAGACCTGGACACAATACTCAAGACGAGGTCTAACTAGTGCCGGATAGAGGGGAACTAGTACTGTACAGGACTTAGAGACTATACTTTTGTTAATACAGCCTGAAATAGCATTTGCCTTTTTTTGTAGCCATATCACACTGTTGGCTCATGTTCAGTTTGTGATCTACATCTCCAACATCCTTCTCGCTTGTAGTATTGCTGAGCTAGTTACCACCACCCCCTCCATCTTGTAACTGTATTTTTGTTTGTTTTTCCCCTAGATGCAGTACTTTGCACTTATCCTTGTTAAATTTCATTCTTTTATTTTCAGCCCAGTTCTCAAAGCTATCTAGATCATTTTGAATTTTGCTTTTGTTTTCCAGGCTGTTAGCTATTCCACCCAATTCTGTGTCATCCACAAATTTGATTAGCTTCCCTGTATCCAGATTAATAAAATATTCTACAATGAAAGGGGAAGTTTCTCACTCAATGTATCTTTTATTCCAGCAGTGCTTTTGAATATCAAGAAGAAAAAAGGTATTTTGAACTTCTGGCTGTTCTTCCTTGTAGGATCCTGATGTTATCAACACTGTTCTGCCTGTGGAGTATGGGCCATGCATTGAAGAAGAGGAAAAGGTCCCAGTCCGTCCTGATGACCCTGAAGCGATTCCTCCTCTGTTAGTGTTGCCGCAGCAAGAGAAAAAAGGTGCAGAGCAGCTCCTGCCTTCGCCGCCTTCTCTGGCCTTAGCCATCCCAGCTGCAAAGTCTCTCCCGAAAGTGGCGGGTGTTGAGCCACCAGTTCGTGCTAACATGCAGGCACCCCTGGAAGGAGGACATGTCAACATGGCGTACGCTCAGTCCAACTCTGTCACGGAGCTCCACAAAGTGCGAGGGTCCAGAAACAAGCCCACCAACCTCTGGAACCCAACATATGGCTCCTGGTTTTCAGAGAAGCCAACCGTCAAAAACACTTCACAGGTGGAGAAGGAGGCAACTGAGAGGGAAAGTTCAGGACATGGCGGGAACTGTACTTTGGGACCCAGCATTGTGACCGGAAGGCTGCCCAGCTCTTCCGTTCTTCTAGAACCATCTTCACTAACAGCCAGTGTTAAAGAAGTGCCTCTGTTCAGGCTCCGCCATTTCCCCTGTGGGAATGTTAACTATGGATACCAACAACAGGGCTTGCCCCTGGAAACCTCGGCCCCACCCTTGTGCCAGCAGTTACGAGGGCCCTCACCTTAAAAAACCAAGGCTCACCTGGTGGAGTGAAAGTCTCCAGTTCTCTTGACTCTCTTCTCATGTGACTTGTGAGCCTTGGAGCAAAGTTCAGTGTCGTCCACACAGCAAGTGCGAGAACAAAGATTCCCTTCCGTTCTGTGCCAATTGGCTCTGAAGTGCCACCTTTGAAGCAACGTTTCTCAAACATTCAAGAAGCTTCATTTTCTTTTCAGAGTCTGTTCCCTACACACATGCTCTCTCTCTCTTACACATGCACACACACTTAGGACAACAGTCAGCAAGGCCCCATTCTCAGTGGCATAAAATCATCTGCATGGTTGTACGCTATGCCCTTCCCTGCGCACTGCTTCCTCTCAGCTGTTCATCTGCTGTTTCAAGACTCGCTGTCCAAATGTTATTTGTTTAGGGATTTCCGGAACTGCCAGATGCAGTCGTTGGCAAGCCCACTTGATGTTGGAGATTTGAGGAGAGAGTAAGAAAATGTGGTACTCATGTCCAAAACAAAATTATGTAACATGGACTCTTCAAGGATGCGTACCCAAGCAACAGTGCAGCTACCGTATGGTCCTCATATGAACACACCAAAAACCTAGTGCCATTCACCGGGCAGCACACACATGTTGCTCTCACCGTCTGTGTGTCCCAAATGGCCAATGCAGAAATTTAAGGGATATATTGAAATATTCTAATTAGAAGGGAGAGCTTTCTCCTTCTTTGAAATTAGGGTCTCTTGTGGTTGTTGGGTGACAAGGGTCAAGACACTGAAACTAGCACCTAATCTTTCATGTGCATTCATGCTGTGAGTGGTTATGCCAGATTTGAAATCAGAGGAAGGGAAGAAAGTGGCTGCCCAGATGTTTCAGACTACAGCTAATACAGTCCTTGGAGAACATGAAAAGAGCTGTGCTGGGTCAGAACAAGAGACTGTCTTGTTCAATATTCTGTTCACATGGTGGCCAAGCAGTTGCTTACAGGGAGGTCATCAGCAGAAGAAGATCAAAAAGCACAGTGTTTGGGCATGGGTGGCTGGAGAAGTACAGCTTCCTGTATCCCCTGGGATGCACAAGGATTCTGCCTGGGACCTGTAGTCTAAAATAGTGATGTCTTTATGCTCAGCAAGTGCACCCCTCATGTTAAAGGTTCCAGCAAAAGATATACTAAGGCATACTGCCTCCGATACTAGAGAATTCATTCTGAATACTAGCCAATGATGGCCTTAACCTCCATGAATTTACATAGTCCCCTTTTAAAACTATCCAAGTTGTTCACCGCTATGTCATATGGCAATGAATCCCAATAAGTATTTCTTTTATCTGTACTTAATCTCTCATTATTCAGCTTCAATGGTTTGTTCTCATATCCTGAGAGGGATGGAGAAAAAACCCCTGCTTTATGCCTACTTTTCATATATTTCTGTTATGCCTCCTGTTACTCACTCACACCACACACACACCCAAAACTACTCCAAATGTTTCAAACTTTCCTTGTAGGGGAGTTGTTCTGGTCTATTGCTCTTAGCGTGTATTTTGGCACTGAAGCAAAATGCTCCAAAAAATTGGAGAGCTAAGAACTGTTTTAGGGGACAGGGACAGAATGATCAGGCTAGGAGAAGCCAGTCTGTACAAGAAAGAAATCTACACTTTTTTTTCATGCATTAATAGTTTTTATTTGCTGTCCAGTCGCCTCTGACTTATAATGATCCTATGAATAAGCAATCTCCAAAACGTCCTGTCCTCAACAGACCTGCTCAGCTGTTGCAAACTAAAGCCTGTGGCTTCCTTTAGGGAGACAACCTATCTCATATTTGGTCTTCCTCTTTTTCTGCTGCCTTCAAACTGCCAGTACGATTGTCTTTTCCAGCAAATCTTGCTTTCTCATAATATACTCAAAGGAGGAAAGCCTTCCTCATCATTTTTGCCTCCAGAGATAGTTCAGGCATGATTTGCTCTGGAAACCGCTTGTTAAATGTATTAAAAGTAGTGAGCGGGGAAAATTTGGCTGGGCAGCAAAACTATAATTCAATTGTTCTGTGTACCCACTCACAGTTTTTCCAGGGCACAATATTTTTTATGAATAATAAAATAAGTGACAAAATAAGCCGTTGGCTGTGTGGACCACAGCAAACTATGGCAAGTTCTTGAAGAAATGGGAGTGCCTGACCACTTTATCTATCTCCTAAGGAATATATACGTGGGACAGGAAGCAACAGTTAGAACTGGATATGGAATAACTGATTGGTTCAAAACTGGGAAAGGAGTACGACAAGGCTGTATATTGTCTCCCTGCTTATTTAATTTATATGCAGAACACATCATGCAAAAGGCTGGACTAGAAGAATCCCAAGCCAGAATTAAGATTGCCGGAAGAAATATCAACAATCTCAGATATGCAGATGATACCACTCTGATGGCAGAAAGTGAGGAGGAATTAAGGAACCTCTTAATGAGGGTGAAAGAGGAGAGCGCAAAAAATGATCTGAAGCTCAACATCAAAAACACTAAGATCATGACTACTGGTCCCATCACCTCCTGGCAAATAGAAGGGAAAGATATGGAAGCAGTGACAGATTTTACTTTCTTGGGTTCAATGATCATTGCAGATGGTGACACCAGCCATGGAAGGAAAGCGACGACAAACCTAGACAGCATCTTAAAAAGCAGAGCCTTCACCTTGCCGACGAAGGTCCACATAGTCAAAGCTATGGTTTTTCCAGTAGTGTTGTATGGAAGTGAGAGTTGGACCATAAAGAAGGCTGACCGCTGAAGAATTGATGCTTTCGAATTATGGTGCTGGAGGAGGCTCTTGAGACTCCCCTGGACTGCAAGGAGATCAAATGTATCCCTTCTGAAGGAAATCAACCCTGAGTGCTCACTGGAAGATCAGATCCTGAAGCTGAGGCTCCAATCCTTTGGCCATCTCATAAGAAGAGAAGACTCCCTGGAAAAGACCCTGATGTTGGGAAAGTGTGGAGGCAAGAGGAGAAGGGGATGACAGAGGACGGGATGGTTGGACAATGTCGTCGAAGCTACCAGCATGAATTTGACCAAACTCCAGGAGGCAGTGGACGACAGGAGGGCCTGGCGTGCTCTGGTCCATGGGGTCACGAAGAGTTGGGCACAACAACTAAAGAACAAGTGACTTCAGTGTACATCTCTTTGAGGCAAAAGTCAACAACTTTTATGGGTTCAGGAAGCTTTTTCATACTCCCCTGGACCGCAGCAGGCTGCACATACCCATTTTTAAATGTCTATATAAAAATAAAAATGGTCAGCCGCCATCTTCCCCAAACCTCAGAAGATGCTCCATCATGTGTACAATTAGCTATTTTATTAGCTATTGGCTATTGAGAGAGTAGCCTGATTTAGAATAGAATAGAAAATGTCGAGACATTTTTTAAGGAAGGCAGTCCTCATGGAGCAGATGAATTTGAATAGAATCAGTGGCCACCTCACAGAGCTTTTTGCTCTGTAAAGAACCACACACACACTGAAGGGGGAAACTAGCTTTGAGTGTGCAAAGATTGCCTTGTTTAGCACATTCTTTCAGACTTGATATAGTTCCACATTCTAGGAGGTTTCAAAACTTGTATGAACTATATCCGTGAAAAGGCATGGCACAAAATCCCACGAAGAAGCAAGGACCATCAAAAATCTTAGCTACACCTAGCCAAGAGCTGATGATGTCTATTGCATAAGCATGGTATCACAAAACAGGATATTATGCAGTTATTACAAGCTGGTACATTGACATGCTGTGAACATCAGGGCACAAGGGGGAAATCATTCTTTAGTCTTGAAAACACATTCAGCAGTAGATGTGACCCACTGCATTTGTTTCAGTGAAATAACTAGAAATCATATATGCCCACTGTAACCTAGCTCTTGTATAGTGCCCCCCCCACTGACACACACACATACTACAATTGTGAAGGAAGACTGTGCCTCTTACCTGTTTCAGAGGTTGATAATGGTCCATCCATAAAATAAATGTAACTCTAATTCTCTGCACACTGAATAGGGCTGATTGATTTAACTGGCATTTTATAAGCAAATGAATGACAGGCAGAAAGTCATCTACTTTCTATGGATAGCAGTTTGCAGGAGGAGTTGTAAATCAATGAGGAATGGCCCTGAATCTTTAGTAGTGAATCACACTGGGCAAAAATCTAATCATGCGTCTCCTTAGCAAAATAATGTGTCTTGTTCCCTTTAAGGGGCAACCAAGGACCTTGAAATGTAACTCTAGCAGACAAGACACTCCCACCTGAAGACTCACTGAAGGTCTTGATCCTTTTGTGTGTGCACTCATTATCTGTGACTTAGAAAGCTTCATTCTAAATTGGCACCCATTTATCCTAACACTTCAAAGGCTACTGAGCTGGCCATTCCTATGTATTCACAGCAGGGAGCATGATTTAACTCCATGGATTGCCATGGGGGCAACTATTGGATGGAGGTGAAGTGATTCTTTAAAATGCAAGAAAAACAAGTGTGTGAAGGAGTGCTCATCTCCTGTAATAGATGCTGCTCCTCCACTCGCCTTACAATCTAATGGTGCATGGCTCATTCAAGTACATTAGGCACACGGAAGGACCTCCATCTTTTCTGTGCAGCCAGATTGTTTTGTTATTGCCTTGGCAGATTTCAGAGGTCATAGAAAGTGCCTAAAATTCACCCTCTTTTCCCCACCACCAAAGCAGCAGTGTACAGATTGTACTTGTGGGAGCAGAGGGTCTCCTGGATCTTCTGCTAATACTTGTTTATGAAGCTTACACCCATCAACAGCAGAAGGGCCTAAGAGCTCTCATCAGCAAGGTTATTTATAGGTAGCTTCCCTACTAAAGTGGAACAGTTAATCCTATTATATATCTAGCACAGGTGGGTGATGAACGATTTGAGTCACACTGCAGCAGATTGGCATCATACTCGTATACCAGTGCCAGCTAATAGCTTGCAAGGTATGTGCTTTCTTTCTTGCAAAAATGCAGATGTAGTACAACTAGAAAGAAATGGAAACTATGAAGTTTGGTAAAAAGAGGCAGTGCCCATCACAAGATAATGTACTTCTGGGCAGAAACTATTTCCAAAGCATGGTAGGGAGAAAGGGGTATAAAGTACCCCAGGGATATACCACCGTGTCTGTCTTCCAACTGCTTTTCCATTGGTTGTTGTAGGTTTTTCGAGTTGTTTGGCCATTTCCAGAAACACAGCCAAACAGCCCGAAAAACCTACAACCACCATCGGATCCCGGCCATGAAAGCCTTCGAGAATACTTTTCCATTGTCTGATCAAAGACTCAGGACTGATTGCAAGGTAATACTGTACAACCTTTAAAGCACATGTTGAATACCTGCATAAGGAACTGCCAAAATGTCCAACATCTTTCAGGAACAACCAGGGAGCAAAATATTAGATGTTGCTGCTGGATCTTGGGCTTCTGGGGCCTTCAGTAATTCCAGCAGTGCATGTCTTCAGTATGTGCATTTATCCTTTTACTTGTGGCACAGTAACATAGCACCACAGTATAACACCCAGAGTCACAGCATGCAAGTATATCAAATCAGTATATTGTGAGCAAGAGTAGAATAGGAGCAACAAAGCAAGAATGGCCTCACAAATTATTCACCCTGTTCAAAAGTGGCAAAACCAAATGCAATGTTAAAGGTGTGAACAACGAGCGGGTCTGTGCTTTCAGTAGGCAGACTGTAAAACATAATCCATTGACTGGAGTTCTCAACTGATACCCACCGTTCCTGCCTGATGATCCAGTGCATGAGTACTCCGAAATAAGCCACTCTATTTTCTACCAGACTTACCCAAAAGTAAGAGAAATGTCATGCTTAATGTAGCACATCAGATCAATTCTCTTTCACTCTTAACTCCACACAGCTTTAAGGTGAGGCAATTGTCCTGAAATATTACCACAACCGTTCTGCAGTGCATGGCTTGGTCCAGCTGTTGCACATTAGGAAAGTCCTTGGGGTCATCTGCTCCTAAAAGGGCAGCTGCCACCTACGTTTAATCCTGGAACAATGACCACCACTTCAGTGTCTCTTCACAGTACCATAACTCCAAATGTGGATGTCTAAACCAAGTGTCTTGGGGGGAAAATCCCTCTGTACCCAGCCTCTTCCTTCTGTATCAAAGCTTTGCCATTAGGAATGTGTGTCACTTTTGTACAGATGCTTATGCAACATTGCTCATAAATCAAGGGCCTATGCATTTCAGGGATCCTTCTCAAGATAAAACACTAATATATGGTCATTGTATTTTGTATTGTATTTGTATTGTAATTAAGTGTAGTGAAGCTAAAGGCATGAAGACAAAATAAAATGACTATAAAGGAAAGCCTGCATTTGGATATGTATTATCTCTGTATTAACTCAACAAACCAACTGGTCAACAAACTCTTTGGTTCGTTGGAAGATGAACCAATACGCTTGGCCTCTAGGAAGACTGCAAGCCATAAGTAAAGTGGCTAAGCTACATTATGTACTAGTAAAGAAAAATAAACCAAACCCATTTTGATTATGAAGACAAGTGAAAGGGATCAACTACAACTTACAATAAACCAAGCTACCTGGTAAAGGCTCACACTTTCCGCATTGGTTACAGAAAAACCATTAACTTATCTGGGTAACATGCAGCTGGGCTAAATACATCACTAATGCTCTTTTAGGGATTAGATTTGCAGCATTTGCATCACAGCAAATTGGTTTTACTCTCAAGTAATTGCTACACATTTGCACTGTGCAAAAAATAGGATACTCATTAGGTGACGTACAAAAAGAACAAAGGAGTCGTCTGATCTGCTCACATCTCAATCACTCTGCCTTGCAGCAAGGACAAGTAAACTACGAATGCTTAGTCATCCTGTGAGGTGAACCCAGCCAACACTATTCCCGCCCAAACATGCCAGACAAAGAAACTATAAAGCAACTCACACACTGACACTTTGGACAACATGATGAACAAGCCACTCTTTTTGATTTCCCCAGCTGGCTTAGCCAAACCTACTCAAAATGGCAGCAATTAGGCAACCGGTATCAAGGTGTATTCAATAAACAAGGTTGCCAGTTTCCTAATTGTTACCTCCAATGTAGCCACTGTGTAACAACAGTATCTGAATGTATCAAAAATTTCCACCTGATTTTGTTGCAAGCTTTATTCTGGAAGCCTCCTTACTCAAAGAGGTGGAGGCAGCCTAAAGGAAGATATAAACTGACAAATACACATGAAGTGCATAAACTTTTTTTATGCTCAAGACTGGCACATCTATAGAGTACATCAACATTGTACAGCCTTAAAAAGGTATTTAAAACATCTACTTTATCATATTTTACAGCTGCTGTTCTGTGCCCTAAATATCTAATCAAACTGGCATGAAAAGTGATTTTTTTAAAAAAGGATACTCTGTAATAGCTCAATTTTCTTAAAAGCAATGAGTATCATTAAAGTCAGACAACTATCAACAGCAGTTTTACATCAAAATTTAAACATGAAAGAGGCTGATGTTGGACATCACAAGGTTCAGTGCATCAAGGTATATTTGCAGCCTTAAATAGACACCACTAATTTTTGGATGGCTTATAATTAAAAGGAAGCTTAGGGCCACAATTTACAACTGCTACCTATAGTTACAAATGATCATTAGCTACAGGACTGCAGCTTTTTCATATTTAATGCAGATCAGGAAAAACTGTTCCATCCATGTTGGAAATATAATTAACTCTTCTGTAACTAGCTAAAAGTTAATCTAACATTGAGACCAATGTAACTTCAAATTGCTGTACATTTAAATGCAGTTTGACAAGACATCTCATTTTCAGAGATGAAGCCGTTTTGTTGTTTCCGTGGCTTTCATTTTAACATCAAACCTTTAAAATGTATTATGTCTTTCATAGCAATAGCACTATAAATTCATAATCATGCATTTCTCCAAAGCGGCATTTCTCAACCAGTGGTGCATACACTATCGATGGGAAACAGAGCAGTGTCCAGCAGGGACTCAAGGTTTTCATAGCAATTACTAAAAATTCATTCTGTCCATCCCTATCTCCTTCTGCAAGTAGGATGTGCATCTCATACCAGCCATGAATTATTCATTTGTGACCTTTCTGCATGATAGTAGTAACTTGAACACTGAGCTTTTTCTGATTGCAGGAGAAAGCCTGAAAAAAACACCACCAGTCTCCTTCTCAGGAAAAAGTGAGAGGGAGTTTATTCTGTCATGAAAAGTTTCAAGTTTTTTGACATGAGGAAATAATATGAAAATTGAGAACCACTGATTAAAAGAAGCATGTTACAGTAACACATAATTAAATCTGCTACTGGCAACGTTACAGCAATTATATAAAAGCAACAAGGATTTCACCATGCAGCCCTTTAAATGACTTTTCCAAAATATGTGCCTACAGTGAGAGAATTCTTACTGTATACTATACAGAATGACAAATACCAAACTGTATTTGGGACTCAAGCATCAAAATATAGATCTACCTTAATTTAAGTTGGCAAACAGAAAATTGTCCAATGGCTTCATTCACATCTTAGGCTGTAGCTGCTCTGCTGGCTGAATAGTTGAGTGAGTTAGGTAGGTATCTGGCTGTGAAGACAGAGGTTCAGAGTTTGATTCCCACTGTGAGTCCCAGGAGAAGAACCAGGCTGTGTAGCCTTGAGGAACGTGCATAGTCCCCCATGGCCCCAGAGAAGGGAACAGGAAACCACTTCTGAGTACTCAACTCCTAGGAAAACCTGAAACTTTGCCATATGTCAGAACTGATTTGGCACCATGTAAGAACTACTACTACTAACTACTACTACTACTACTACTACTACTACTACTACTACTATGTTTATTATGTCTGTAGCTGGCTTGAAACAAGCTAAAGGTTACAGTTAGCTTGATGTGTGTCCCAGAAGAAGGGAAAACGTGCAGGTGCAGCAAAAACAGATTCATCTGTAAGTTTTCACCGATATATCCTTCCAAAAGACAGCCAAACATGACAGTCTGACCCAAGGCAAAAAGCTGGCAATGGCTGTTACAAACCCAAAGGGAAACACATTTCCTTAGCATATTTCCATGGCAGAAAAATGCGTATTTCCTCCAAAAGGTAGATAAAAGGGCACCCATCCATGCACAAGTGATGTCACCCTGTAACCTCTCCCTGACCTAAAAAAAAAAATAACTCAGGAGCCAATCTGGCTGCTGGCTGGACACTGCCGGCATGTGTAAGATATTCATGGCTGCCAGCTATAGCCTCAGTAACAAAACCATTTCTCCAAAATATCAAGGAAGAACTATCCAGAGAGGAAAAGTCAAAGTGCATAGTCTTTGTTCCAAGAATATTTTGCTGAAGGTGCTTCTGGCATGCTACTGGTTTTGTGCTTTTTAAAAAGGGCACACACAGACATAGATGCACATATATATACATATACTGTTTTTAAAGTGCTTTTACTATAAACCTGAAAACATTTGTGCTCTTTTAGATTCCCTCGCCCACCCACACCATTTCTTTATTTACACTGCTCACTGAAGGGGCACATTCTTCAGACAAGTTTCAGCTGCTTACTTTTTGCTTTGGTGGATCTGCCTGAATAATGAGCTATCAGTTTCACGTCTCTGCCCCCTTCTTTCCATAAATACTGTCAGCTGTCTCCCTTTTTATTGCTATTTCTTTTCTTCCCCTCACTGAAGACAGTTTAGCAAGGTGACAAATCTTAGTGCTTTGTTTAACAAGCTCTGCAATCTCACGTGGCATTATAGCTTCATTAGAACTTGGGATGTAAAGCATATTTGTGAAGTGGCAGAGCATATCAAAACAGCGCTAGATATAAAAATTGTCTAGGATTCAAATAATATGGCAGCTCACATATTTTACACAAGAAATGATCAGGGAAAGTTGCTGAAACTAATATTATTCCATTCCTCAGAGTCATAATGCCCTTCCATAGTCTGGTTAGAGCTGTGTACATGTTAAAGAAGTGTAGCTACAGGACTTTAGATAAGACAGGATGCCATGCAGGTGGATGGCTGGATTCCCATATGTGCTTTATTGCTGATACCCTCAGCTCAGGACTAGAGTGCTTTTCTTCAACAGATGTCATCCACCAGCTTTATCCCATTAATCCCACGGTAAGTCACTCTGTTTGGCCTCACAAGGACTCCGTAGTTTGGCTTGCAAGTGAAGTAGCGCTTGTCACCCACAGAGCCATCATTCTTGCCCTTCGCACTCCGTAGTTCCAGGCCAAGCCAGATCCCAGGAGCAAAGTCTGTGGGCCCAATGTAGCGAATGGTACCCATCTCACTGGAGCTGGTCAAGAGGACCTGGGACCCTTCGTGAAGCTTCACTGGGCCTTCAGTGCTTGCTGTCGTACTGTTACTCCAACTGCGCCACAGTGAAGAATTTTTGGATCTGGACAAGGAGAAAGAGAGAAGACTACATTTTGAAAACCAAGGCAAAACAAAAGCTGACAGCATACACGTACACAGGGAACACAGGAAACAATACGGTGATCTCTTAAAGGCAATAGCCCTCCAAGGTCTCATGCCTAGCTGTACTTGAGATACCTGGTGGTCTTCCATCCAAGTCCTGAGAAAGACAGATCCCGCTTAGCTTCTGACATTAGACAAGATCAGATGTGTTCAGGGCAGTATGGTAGTTTTTTTACTGATCTCAGTAGCAAAACATGCACTCAATGGCCCAAATGACTATTGCAAAATACCATACACATAATGGCAATTGTGCAGTCTTCAGGCATTCCTGTCCATATGCAACCTATTGCATCGTCAAGCATGTGATGGACAACCAGCAAAACCTTGAACATGCTACTTGAAGGACCTTTGGGTTACCCTTCATGATTTCAATAGGATTCTGGCCACTTACTCTGAAGACTAGAAGGTGTACTCGTGAATCCAAGAGAAAAGCCAGTTTATCCCTCTTTTTTTTATGTTTTTATTTAGTTATTTAAAGTATTTTTAACCCACCTTTCTCCTTAAAAAGGGTCCAAGGTGGCTTACAACTTAAAAACAGTATTTAAGTCAGTAATAACGAGTATAATCAAGTCCAGGATGTTTAGAGAAAGATGAAAATGATGACACTTTCCTTCCAATGGAAACAGAACCTATGAAAGAGCTGTACAGTATATGTTGGGATGCAACAAAGAAGCTGCCTTATACTGAGGCAGACCATTGGGCCATTTAGCTCAGCACTGTAAACTCTGACTGGCAGCACCTTTCCAGGGTTTCAGTCAGGATTCCTTTCTAGCCCTATGTGAAGACACTGGGGGCTAGGGACCATCTGCAACACACGAAAGAGGGTTAAATCCCTCTTCCTCCCTTGCTGCGACCCAACAGTTATCAGCCCCACTTCCTCCAGTGGCTCCTCTGTGGAATTTTTTAAAATGCATAGTATGCCAAGATCTATTTGACAGTTCTGATTTTAGCTATTATCTCTAAATGCACGATCCATTTTTCTCCCCAAGCACACCCAACACAGTGAAAAGGCAAGCAGAAAATACTGTATGCTTGGTTTCTTCCTATAATCATTGAAGTGAGGGTGAGAATTAGGAACTACATCTCTGTATCAAAGTGACTCCTTAATTACCAAGATGTATGGCTCGAGAGAGAAAAGAGAGGTTTACTTCATCTAATTAAAGGAGATGACAACACATTCTGCTTAGAAAGAAAGAAACAGTCACCCACTTGATAACAGCATTTTTCCTGTTTATTTCCTTTTGGGATGGTGCAGAGGTGGTACTAAAGCTCCGTCGGAAACCTGAACATAGAAAGATATTTTTTTACACCAATCTAATAGGCAATAAACCTATGTTCATTTTTCTCTCTTATGAAAAGAAAGGTTGTTATGTAGACTTTTTCTCAAAGCACAGCACAGGAAAAGGGATCACTCTTCCTGCTTTATTAAGACCCTTACTGTCTTCTGAACCAGGACTGCACTCCATCTTTAACCCTGGGCTGTGAAATGTCCAGCTGCAAGTAACAAACACTGCACAACAGTTGGCCCACTGCACTGTGTCATGAATGAATTGTCAAAACCCCAAAGCCCTCATCAAGGTCATTGTCAAATCTATCCCACTGCTTGGAACTTAAGATGCCCCTCCATGGAAGCAAGGATAGTCTGAGGCAGCAGAAGCCTTGTCCAACCAGATAGCCAACATGATGGCAGAATTTAACAGAGAAACCTGTTAAAGCTATATGATTCTGCAAACTAAGCAGGCAGAAGCCTTGTCCAACCAGATAGCCAACGTTATGGCAGAATTTTACAGAGAAACCTAAGCTATATGATTCTGCAAACTAAGCAATAAAATAGCCACTCTTCTTATCAATGCATCCTGCCAAGAAGGGAGATTACTTTAAAGAGAGAGAGAACCAATGTTTTCTTTTCCAAAGAGGAAAAGAACATTTCCAACATTTTTCTGCATTTCAAGAAAAATGCAGGTGGGTGGGAATGGGAAAAGCTGCTGCTTTCAGGTCCTCCCACTACATTCTTAGTCCCCACCATTACAAACAAATATCACCAAGAAGGTACAGCAGCTTCAATTTGGGTAGCTAATGGAAAACAATGAAATTAGATGCATATCCAAAACTTACCAGGTAAAGAATGATTCATTTTACTCGATGAAACATCTGGGAGAGAGTCAGATGATCCTGTTAGCCTGCAAATAAAATCATGTGTTTAGTGGTAGTTCTCTCCCCCACACAAAAAAACAGAAAACCTGGATTCTTCTGAGAAAGCTGGCAGAGACCCATTGTGGCGCATACCAAGAGTCCACTTGGAATTAAGAGAAAGACAAGATCCCACCATGGCCTATAAGTTTCATACAGATCCAAAATAATCAAGATTAAATGTGGGAAGAGTTAAACAAAGAGCTCTGGCATCTCAGCAAAGAAAGCAATTCAGTGAAAACAAAGCAGAAATACTTTATTTGTACCATTAAAAAAGATACGTCCTATTTTCACGTCTATATCAACAGTGAAAAGTTGTTGTGCAGAAACCTTTTCAGTTACACCTTTTCCTTTAGGGCTATAAGAAACTGCCATTTAACCCAAGTTGTTGTTCTTAAGTGCCATCAAGCTGCCCACTAACTTATAGTGACTCTATGGATAAGCAATCTCGAAAATGTCCTCAATATCCCTGCTCAGCTCTTGCAAACTCAAAGCTGTGGCTTCCTTTAGGGAGTCAATCTATCTTGTATTGGACTTCCTCTTTTCCTGGTGCCCTCAACGTTTGCCAGCATTGTTGTCTTTTCCAGAAAATCCTGTCTCCTCATGATGTGCCTCAGTAGGACAGCCTCAGTTTCAACATTCTTACCTCCAGACATAGTTTAAGTTTGATTTGATCTAGAACCCACTTGTTCATCTTTCTGGCAATATAGGGTATCCACAAAACTTTCTTCCAGCACTACATTTCAAATGAATCAGTTTTTTGCCCACAAGCTTTATTTTACTGCCCAGTTTTCACATCTATAATAGGTGATCAGAAATACAAGAGAGTGGATGGTCTTGGTCTCCAGTGACACATTCTCACACTTGACCATCTTTTCTAATTACTTCATTCCTGCCCTTCCTAGTCTCAGTCTCGTTTCGATTTACTGGCATTTAGACTGAGGCTTGAACCAAAGTATATAAAATATCTATTTCAATCTCCTCATTGTCAACACTAAAGTTTTGTAGCTCTTCAGTAGTCATAATTTTTGTAATCTTAACATTCAACTGCAGTCCAGCTTTGGTACTTTCTTCTTTGACTTTCCATAAGAGTCATTTCAAGTTGTTGCTGCTTTCTGCTACTAAGATGGTGTCATCTGCGTATCTTTGAACACTAGTGTTTCTTCCACCAATTTTCACTCTTCCTTCATCTTAATCTAGTCTGGCTTTGTGTATTATACATTCTGTATATATATCAGCTAAGGGGATAAAATGGACCCTTGTCTGACACTTTTGCCTTCCTTTCTCTCTCTCTCTTTCTGGCACAGACCAATCAGAAAGGAAACCATTTTGTTTCTCTGTATTCAGTCTTAATTGTAACTTCTTGTCCACAATACGGGTTATGCATCAGGACAAGTACAAAGGCACACCCATTTCTTTCAGATCAACCCATAGTTTCTCATGATCTACACAGTCAAAGGCTTTGCTACCTACAAAGCATAGAATGATCTTCTTATGAAATTCTTTGGTGTGCTCCAGTAGCCAGCAGATATCTGCAATATGATCTCGAGTGCTTCTTGCTTTTCAGAATCCAGTTTGACATCAGGCATTTCTCATTCCTCAGAAGGTAAAAGCCTTTGTTACAACACCTTAAGCATCGCTTTATTTGCTTGGGAAATTAAAGCATTGGTTTTATAGTTACTCTTTGGTATCTTCTTTCTTGGGGATTGGTATATATATTGAACATTATCAGTCTGTGCGTCATTGCCTCTTTGGTATCTCCTTTCTTGGGGATTGGTATATACAGTACATTGAACATTATCAGTGTGTCATTGTTTAGTTTCCCCTATTTGCTGGCATATTCTTGTTAGGATTTTGACAGTGTTTGTGGCTAATGAAGTAAATAATGGGTAAATCTAACTCAGTATTGAACTGGATTGAATTATTACATTTGGTTTATTGATTAAACTAATTGACTGTCATTCTCTACAGTTTTCGATGGAGGCCTTTCCCAACCCTAATTGGAGATGGTGGGGACTGAAATTCAGACCTTTTCCAATCACCATGTTGGCCTGTCCCTGAACTACAGATCTTCAGTTGTACTGGATATTAGGTGAAGGTTTTAGACAGCCATATTTGTAATAAGTAGATTTCTTTCAGTGAGAAGAAACTTTAAATTCTAACAACTAAGGAAACAGTTTTAGAAGTCAGGAGTAATCTAACACACAACCGCTTTTTCTTTACAGCAATTCAGCCAAAAGCACATGTCAAGTTTATTGATTGCTATCATATTAGCTCCAAAGATTGATGGCTTCCTTTTGCCATCCTCAGAACAAGAATGATCTCAACTTTGGCAGAACAGCGGTGTGGTGCTCCTTTTGGCTCCCATCCATTCTAAACCAGATTCCAAACAAAAGTATTTATTATTTTTTCATATTTGTATGTATTTCAACACCAACGACGATGGCATGGCTTATAAGATAAAAACAGAAAAAACAAATACAAAGCCTCCAATAAACTTAAGAAAAATGATTCTGGTAATTGAATCTGCAGTTAATACCGCAAATAAGGAAGAGGAATGAATGCATCCAGAGGAAGAAAAATGCCTCTCAAATAAATCAGCTTGAATAAACTATCAAGATGAGTAAGCATTCTTTTGAATTTATTTTCAAAGTAGCCTGGGAACAAGCACCTCAGTGTAAACAAACTGTGGTCCAAGGAAGTAGGGGTAGAAGGCATCTCTTTAACATTCCAGGATGAAGCATCTCCTTCCTGAACTCTGTCAACAGGGCAGTAGCAACAATCATAGAATTCCACTCTTACCTCTGCACTCTGGATGGTGGCGCAAAGACACCATATCTTGGAGAGCAGCTGAAGTACTGCACACCTGCAACTGAGCCATCGTTCTTGCCATGAGGTTTGTCCAGCTCTATTCCACACCAAAATCCTGCAACAGTCCAAGTCAGATATTTGAAGAGTGACAAATAGGCAAAAGCAAAACCTTTCAAATTAAGTGTTATAGGCTACAATCAAAGTAAATATTTATACCCACATAGGAGCACTGGCTTAACCCAGAGCAGCAAACCGCTGCTAATTAAAATGATCTGAACAAATTCCTAGTCACGTGTTGAGTCATACAACTGGCACACTACTAGGAATTCAACTTGTAACACACTAACTGGCAGCTATTTGCTGCTCTGAGTTATGTCAATGTATTTAACCATGTGTAAATATTTATTCAAAACTCTGGCCACTGTATGCTATAGGAAAAGTTTAATTTTTTGCACAGAAATAATTCCTGACAATTTGACTAAAATCCTCAAATAAAGGAGGGAAGAGTCTTTTTAAAATAAATCAGCTTGGATTAGCTACTAAGATGAATGCGTGTTCCCCCAGGTTTCATTTCAATTTCTAAAGTGCCACTGAAAACCATTTCTATGAATAAAATTGGTGATTTTAGTCAGGCAGGAAAGGTGGTGGTGGTGGTGATGAAGCAGGAAGTGGCTTCTGAAATGCTACATTCCAAGAAGAATAATCCATAGAATAAGATCATCTTCAGTTTATAAGAACACCAAGGCTATCTTCCTTGGTCCTGTTCCAAATGTATATATTTGACTGCCTGACATTGAATGCATAGTTACTTTCATTCACTTGCCCCGAACTCAATAAAAAAGAAAGAACAGAATAATTACACTGGATTGGATCAGAGACTGATCTAGACTAGCTTTCTGCTCAGATAGTGGGCAGCCAGTCACTTTTGAGAAGACCACTAGTCGTACAGCATCCTTCCAAACAAATTTCTTAGCAACTGATACACACTACCTCCAGCACTGGAAAAATATACATCCTTCCAAATTAATACTCGCTGATAGCCTCATCGTCCATGAATTTGTTCAGTCTCCTTTTAAAGTTATCCATGTTGGACACCATCACTACCTTTTGTAATAGTGGATGCTACAGAGTTCATTATGCATTGAGTGAAGAATGACCTCCTTTTCTCTAACCCTTTAGCTTCAATGGATGACAACAGGTTCCAGTATTATAAAAAAGAAAATCTACTTTCTCCACAGTATCGATAGTTTTACACATCTTACTCACTGAGCAGCCTGAATGTTGGAAGCTTTCCTCCAGCACCTTGATGGTTTGGGTTGCAATTTTCTACTTGTATAGTAACTTTTTTAGATGCAGTGGTCAGAACTGTACACAATAACACATGTGCTGCCCCTATGGAGTGTATAATGGCAGTTGTACCTTCAGTTCCTTTATTAATTATGGAATTTGCCCTTTTTTTAACAGCAGTTTTACTTTTGGTTCCTTTATTAACTACAGAATGCTTGACAACTACTTCTTACATGATTTAATTCCCTTAGACTGAAAATTAAAATTGAAGTTACTGAAGTTCCAGGTGCAGTTTTAAGGGCAATACTAATTACATGCTGAAGCAGCCAAAATTCACTATTGGTTTAAAAGGATTGGCTGGAGAAGAGTAATTTTCCTCCTGCCTTTAAGAGCAAGAGCAACATATTTCAGACCTCATGTCAATAACAATGCTTATACAATACCTGAACCTTTACTGGCTTGAACTCATGTGAGACGCTGCAGTGGAAGCATTTCCCACAACAGAGCAACTCTTCTTCCAGGTCCAAATACACATTAGCAGTGTGCATGAGTGCACATGTGAATGTTTCAAGATACATTTTTTTTTCTCCACACTGTTAGTTCTACAGCAAAATTACCTAGCTTTAGAAGTTCCACCATCTCAAACACCAAAAGAAAGCCCAAACAGGCTATTCTGTAAGAGCTCAAAGCTGGTGAGAAGGACAAAAGTGCCACAGGCTGACGAAAACCAGAGACCACCAATAGCAAACTACTGTCTGTTCAGTCTAAGCTCCCAAGCCATTCTCCTGGGCTTATCGACAGGCTATGTGGAAGAAACACATTATGTGCCACATAGCCTGTCTGGAACTCATCATCTGAGCTTACTGACATCAAGTGTGATGGAAGACTCTTCATTACAACCAGTGGCTTTTATACATGGAACAAGATGGGGAGGGGAAGGTCTTCTACTTTGCCTCAAGCAGCCAAATATTGTAGGGCAGTCTGCGATAGCCACACCAAAAACTCCAGGTTTCAGACAGTCATCTTAATATCATTTCCACTGCATTTTAGTTCTGAATTAGCTAAAAGCCCAGTTCCTGATCAGAAGCAAATTCAGATTAATCATTATAGAGGAAAGACATGAAAAGAAGTGGCCAAGCAGAAGCTACCTTTGATGGATCTCAAATGCAGACCGCTTACCTGGTGCAAACTTGGTTGTCCCATAGAATCTAACTGTTCCGGTTCTCTGTCCTACCACCAGCACTCTATCTCCAATTTGAATTTCTCCTTCATCAAAAAGATTCCTCCTTGCAGATGGAAAAGTGTTATTTCCTCCTGTTCCATTGGATTTACAAAAATGAAGAGGTGATATATGAATCACATACAAGGAGAAAAGGGCAATTACTAAATGTTCAAGTAAAGAGTCAACACAGCAGCTTTTGTGGAACTAAACAGAATCTGAACTCCAAACCCGAACAGCATTAACTGCAAATCTGAACAGCATGTAGGGTGAACACAATCCACTCACCCTTAACTTATACCTCTCTCCAGCCTGAGGAAGAATGTGTGGCCCGTTATGCTTTTTTGCCTGTGTGTCTGATATACCATGACTAACTCAGGCCTATAACACCCTACAACCCTACCCACATTTACAACAACAAGTAATTTATGGAAAAATCTGTAGGTCTCTTGTTTTAGATTTCAGCAATTGCATTAGGAGAAGCTTAGATTTGCCCTGAACACAACGAGGCCTATTTGCTTATCACCATTCAGGGAGTAGTATTTTAAAGAGAACAATGAAAATGAAATTGTACCAGTGAGAGGTTTGGATGCAACAGAAGGGGGTCTTGAGCCCTCCTTCTTATTACTGCCTGTTGAGGTCCTCTTCTTGGGACCATTCCGCTTGCTGTCTAATGAAGTAGTGGAAGATGAGTTGCTGCTGGAGCCAAGGGACGTTGCTAAAATTAACAAACCACAGCGTTACCCAGATATGAGAAAATGGCAGACAAGATGTATACAAGGCAAGAATTCATCCAGATTTTTATTCATCACCCTAAGGAAATAAGAGAAAGTATGTGCCAAAGCTAACTGCTCATGATGGATGTCACTTAATCTTTCAAGCTGATTTTAATACTATGTAGCACTTGTAAGCATGGAGTGTAATTGTAAAAATAATGCAGCCTCGAGTAATAAACGACATCATCCCTTTGCTTTTGATAGCCAGTCTATTAAATTTTTGATGAGAAAGAGGGAGAGTGACATTTTGTGGGTGAATTATGAAGTGTGAGGATTAGTGCCTATTGCATGCTATTACGCACCATATTAATATTAAAATCTAGTCTATAAAATAAGATTGCAAGGTAAATCACTTTCATTTCAATTTGTGAAATCTTGATGCCCATGTTGCCTACAAAGATTTATCTCCAGCTTCTCCTTCTCTTACAGCTTCCTCTTTTGGCCCACATGAACCAACATTGATGATATAGTGCATGCATCTTGGCTTATTTGTCTGCAATGCCAGAGATACTACTAATTTATCTTTCTGTTAGAAACAGTTTTTCAGGGAAGCTTTGTGCCTCGATTCAGCTGTATTGAAACACTTGAAAACAATAATAAAAAGGGACCAAATACTTGCTTTGTGTTATACAGTACACTATACTCATCTCAGGCAGTCCACAGGCAACATCAGAAGACCAAATAGCATGTTACAGATAATGAGGACAATATCCTGTTAAATTTCCACTGAGCAGAAAGTCCCACCACTTCTGGCAAACGCAAGGCAGGCTTTCTTCATGGAGATCCCCACTGTCATAATTGTACAAATTATACAACCCCACCTTACTATTCTAGTGGGATTGCCACTCAGCACAAGCTCAATAGGAAACTTCCCTGTGGCATTAAAAGATAAAATAACGTCAGTGTTCCAAGGCATGATTTGGGAGAACATTTGCACTTGAAAAATCTGATTTGCAGACAAAAGACTGTGTTTACAATTACAACAGCCCAAAGACCAGTTACAAAATAAAGCAAAGTTTCCATAGTCTGGAAACTATGGAGGTCTGTAAAACTCCTTCTGCAACAACAACATGTTTTTAACATTTGAAGAAAACTCCCAGGAAGCATCACAAAGCTGATGACTGTGAAAAAGAGCACAAAACCTTTGGCCACTCTGTAACATAATCTCAGTGTCAACATGACACCCTGTGGCATCTACCGAGGTCATGAATATTCATATGCTACCTGCATAGACCAATGGGAGTGCTGGAGGGGCGGAGTCACGAAATATAAGAGACTCACCAGGAGGAGGAGGAGGAGTTAGTCAGATAGTGAGCTAGGGAGTTGAAGAGACTGAGATAGAGTTTTGGAGTTTGAGTGGGAGAGTGGCAGTTGAGAGTGGATGAAGGAGAATGTTTGTTAAGAGTTAAAAACATTGCTTGAAGTATCTTTATCTGTAACAATAACCAGTTTCTATTTGGTTCTATTAGAATGACATATGGTCTAGACATCTATCATTAATGATAATGTTGATGTAATGAGCTGGTGGCAGCTGAAAGACGCATAGCGTGAACTCTTAGTTTGGTGAAACAAGCAGGGGCCACGTGGGGATCGTGACACACCCCAACTGGCCTCCAATCTTCTTCCTTTCTCATTTTTACCAAAGCTGATTTATTCACATCCTTCTCACACCAACTGACAGAAAACCTTCAACTGAAATGATCAGCAAAACGCTAGTAAACCTGGAAGTTCCCATGCTCTCACCAAGTACAACAGCCAAAAACATCTTAAGAACAAGTTACCTTCTTTAACTGGTGGAGTTTTCGTTCCTCCTTCACTGCCCAAAAATGCAGAATCAGAAGTACCCTCTTTTCTCAGTGAAGATAAGCCTGTGGCCCAAATCGATAAAGCCATCAGAGTCCAGCAATAGCCCTCACCCCAGGTTCAAGAACAAACATCAGGCATAAGGAGCATGTCACTTTAAACCTAAGTTCCATTGTACAATTTCTGAATCATCTGCAATAGAAAGCCCCTCATTCTTTTACAGATAAAAGAGACACTTAAACCCTTTGCAGCAGCTCAGTAACCAAACCAGGATTCTGTATGCATGAAATGACAGGTTTGTGGATTCAGGGTTTTGATACAATTGGTTAGACGCAGGTGGTGAACAGCAAAGAGGTTGGGCTCTTCTGCGTAATTTGAAGTAGATCAGCAAGGATTTCTGATTCCCAGTTGTTTAACAATATTAACAACAAAATGCCTTCCACATACTGTATGTTCAACTCTGATATTTAGAGCAATGTCCTGAGTTCAGAATTTATCAATTCTAAGCATTTCCTATTTATATTATGTTCAGTTGACAGAGCAGGGCAGGAAGAATTCCTGCAAGTCACAAGTCTATACTCCCTTGGTTGATTTTATCAACTGCATTAATGAGATGTACAAGTTTTCATATAATCAGGTGCCCTTTAAATGAGGTAAAGTGTTTTAAGCATATATTGTCTCAACAGAGAAACAAAATCTACCAAGACTTGAAAATATCCCCCAAATTCACTATTAATTAAATCCTAAGTATGAAGTGTGAGGATTAGTTCCTAAGAAATTCTAATCACAGCTCCACAGACAATGTCAGCTTTTGCCCTACAGTGCCTGCATTAGTACCAACAGTTTCAAAATACTTAGGATAGTTATTAGAAAAATTGCATTTGCACATAGAAATATTTTGAAAACAGAACCAATGGTTAGCCTAAGTGAACAGCCATGCAACCCTAAATAAAATATGTATGGAAAATAATAGTAACACTTAATAATGACCCACAGACCCTTGATTACATAGTAATAATAGACAATATGCTACAGTTAGCAAGGAACACAAGTCTGTTGTTGATTTTGCTAGCAATAGTCATAAAAGTCAGAACCAAATTTCTCCTCAGTTATGTCATACCTATATCCAGCTGCTGGGGTCTTTTTTCATACAATTTAATGACTATTATCTATTATTAGGGTTTTTTGAAACCAGGCTCAAAGACTAAATGGAATAAATATGTTTATAGATGGGCTTCTCCACACTTTATTCTATGGGCAAAAAACAGCTGTTGGTAAAGAATCTGATTAAAAAACCAAACACCAACCAACAACTCCTTTAAATCATGTATGGGCAAAGGAGGCATTTTGCTGGACAGCAACTCCCAACGTTGCTCACCATCAGCTGTGCTGTGATGGGACTAATGGGAGCTGAAATCCAGCCACATCAGCAGAGATGAACTTTGGCTTTAAATGACATGAATATTACCAAAAAAGGTAGTAGGTAATTCAAATACATCATTTCTTGGTGCTTAGATCTATGAATTTAAAGAATCCATATTGCAAAGTCAAAGGGGGAATTGCGATTCTCCATTAAGCACAAAAATCAAGGACTTATTCACATGTATAAGGGCACAGAGCAATAACGTCTAACTGATCCATCACATTGGGAGGGGGTTCTCTGCTGAAGAAACCATCCTTTCTAAGTCCAGAAGGGCACCTGCTATGTGGAAGGGAGGAGGGCATCCTTTATCATGATTTTCCCATTGATTATTTCTTTTCAAAATTTCCCCTTCCAGTATTTAATGGGAGTGAGAACAAGACTGCCGGTACCTGGAGGGGATTTTTATTTATTTATTTATTTTTGGTCCTATCTCAATTCATGTTGGGGAAACAAGATGGTTCTGAATTTCTCAGAGGACATGGGCCCCTGCCCTCTACCCAACATCTCTACTTCCAGTTCTACCACTCCTGGACCAGTCATAGTGGTGGTGTTTTCACATCACATTGGTTTTCATTATTTAGTTTGTGAAGCAGACGCAGCAAACTATGGACTGTGTTTCAATTTTGGATAGAAAATAGTTCATCTCATAATACATCCTCTACCTTCAAAATCAAAACACAAGATTATAATGATTACCAGAGTTCACTTTGGAAGTCACACGTGTTACATCGATTTTCTTGGATTTACGTGCAGGCAGAGGCCGTGAAGAAGAAATTCTTACGTTCTTTTTCTGCCCTGAAGCTTTACTTATTTTAGAAAGAGGTGCAAATATGCCTATAAGAAAAGATATACAAGAAAGATCAAGGATATTAATTGCAGAGCTCAGCTATTACTTGATAACCTATTCAAATATTTATGGCTGCTCAACTATTTAGAGGACTGCTGGGTATCTGAGAGTCATGTGCAATTATGTCAGTACAATTATGCCGTGACAGTTAGTACTAGAAAGTTGCTTCAAGCGATACTGTTCTCTTTTATGGACAGGAGATGAAGCACACTGTAAATCTGGAACACTTAAGCTTTCACATACAAAAGACTTTGACTGAAATGGGAACTAGTTTCATTACTCCTACATGCGTTCTATTTTTCCACCATTTGCACATATTTTTTTAAATAAAGCCATCAACAATCATTCTTAGCTATAATAAACATAGGAAACTTCAGGAATATCAAAGGTAATGGAGGCACATAGCATATTGGGAAGTGTCAATCTAAATTATAATGCAATCTAGTTGGCACACAAGGAGGCAGACACTACTGGTAATTATTAAAAGATTCAGGTGAACTACTTATGAGCACTTTTTATAGGGGCCATGAATGAGATTTCATGACAGAAAGTCTAATTTCAAATCAGTTGACACAGAGCGGGAGAAAAAGAGCTTAACTTGACAGATATGTGAGCAAGTCAAAATACATTATAAGAGCATGCAGGACATACTAAAATAAAATACTATACCATGTTTGGGTGCACACTTGAAGTACTGCACTTTCCCAACACTTCCATTGTTTTTTCCTTCAGGTTCATCCAATTCTACACCAGCCCACTGTCCACTAGCAAATTCTGTTGTGCCACAAAATCGTAATGTCCCGACCTAACAAAAGGAGAGAGAACACCCTGCATGTTTTCACTCACTAATACAATAACAACTCTGAGCTCTTACCGTGCTATAGAATCATGACTAAAATGTGTAGAACTGAGCCCTAACATTATACACGCAAATTTCACCAGCCTGCTTAGGAGGATGTCATCCAGCATGGCAAAGAATTTTGCGGAATATCAGATAACATATTGTACATAATACACACTGCCTATAGAATCATGACTAAAATGTGTAGAACCGAGTCCTAACGTTATACAAGCAAATTTCACCAGCTTGCTGAGGAGGATGTCATCCAGCATGGCGAAGAATTTTGCGGAATATCAGATACATATTGTACATAATACACACTGTTAGGGTAGGACTGGCTTTAATTGGCATGTTTTAGGCTAGTATAAGAAAGTTTGTTTTATTGGGAACAGTTTGATTAATGGCCACTGTTAATAATATAAAAGACACAGCCAATGGTTTCTGCACTTGTATTCTTCAAAGCTTTCACGGCCGGGATCCGATGGTTGCTGTAGGTTTTTCGGGCTGTTTGGCAGTGTTCTGAATGTTTTTCTTCCTAACTTTTCGCCAGTCTCTGTGGCTGGTGTCTTCAGAGGACAGGAGTTAGAACTCACCAGAACACAAACAGACCATCATTTCTACATTTTTCTTCCAACTTCACTTCACTATTTGTAGCTACACCTCAACCATGTGTACTGTTACATATATCTGAGCTTGCAGGTTAACTCTCTGTATATCTGATGAAGTAAGCTACTGTTTACAGAAGAAACACACACTTTTACAGCATCAAGCCATATAAATAAAACAAAATTAAATGCAGAGCTTCAAGTACTGACATATATTACAAAAAGCCAAGTCAAATAAGCAAAAGACACTAAAACTACAAATATGACAATGTAAGACCAATGTCTAAGTTTGGCTATCTATTCTGCCTACTATGGCATGCCGCCCAAAATTTTGCTACCAGTTCTGTAGTAATCCGATTTTGATCAATTAACAATTGGTTACAGTAGTCCGAGTCTGACTGGCTTGTCATGTCTTTTAAGAGGGGTGTATACAGAAGAATGCTATAATACATTTGTTCATCTTTAAAGCATCACAAGTCTCTTGTGTGTCTTGTTCAACAGACAAAAATGCTATCCATGAGGGTAAGAAGGGTAATGACTTCTCTGTTTCTCCAGACATCAAAGGCTGAAGTAGATCTAGTGGGCTTAAGTTATAGGAGGAGACCGCTTTGTTAACAAATTTGTTAGGAGAAATTTGTTATCTAATGATGAAACTGATTAAGTGAGTTCTCCTTAGCTAGAGGTCTCCACACAGGCACACAAAATATGCTTACTCTGAATTGTCCACATCAAGCAGTGGTTTGAACCAGACAGATCATAAAGCTGCCTCCAATTCTGTGAGGTTTTTTTACTCTATATAAATTCATACAAAAATTCACAAATAGAAATTGTAGTATGTGCCGAATCCCAGATCTCAAAATATGGTGCTTAATGTAATAAATATTTCTGCAAAATTAAGCATCCGTGTGGATATTTTAACATAGTTTATGTGTTATTTTACACATAAACTGGCAATCTACAATACTTATTTAGCCAGTACACCAAAATAGCATAAACCAAATTACCAAAGAATGAACCTACACATGATTAAATGAAAATAAAATGTTCACACAAAAAGCTGAAGTTTTAATTCTCTTTAGATAATTTCAATTCCTCTTGAATATAAATTGTACTTCTCAAATCATATGCTCTGCAAATCCACAGAATTCAGGCAATAGCACAGGTGTCTGCTGCACACTCATACGTTATACACAGTGTATCTGAGTAAAATAGGAGAGCCCACTTCCTTTCTGAATGGTGTTAGCCAATCACTATGGTAAATTTCAATCTTCCAATATCAGCTTTTAAATTGTGAATTTCAATTATGGTACTGTGTGGTAATAAGGAAAAACTCAAGAATTCCTAGTTTCCAAAACATACTTTGACATATAGTATTATATGAGTAAGAGGGCAGGAAGCCAATTTTTATTCAGTAGGCTAATTTGATTGCTAACATCATATTTTGTTGGTCAGAGTCAGGACAGAGAATAGCTGCAAAATCCTTCTATGGGAATGGCTGCTTACAGTGTTATATGGGGGTGTGACCCACAGACCCAGCCAAGGGACATAGAGTTACAGATACCACTTAAAACTAATCTCCACTGGCTCATTACAGCAAATGGCTGAGGAACAGTTGCAGAATCAAATGCAAACTTTATGGGCCACTGCTGGCTCCACAATGACTACCACCTCCAGTTGCAATGATATATGTGAAGAGGATTCACAGTGAAAATATACAGCTTTACATAAAGATTTTATTTGATATGTGCTTGGATAACTGTGGAAATGGCTTTATACTTGATTTCATTTCAGAGCAGAAGCAGGTTACATTATCACCTAAAAATCCCATTCACACATAATTACTGTGAATCTTGATTCCATCAGAGACAATAACAGTCAAAAACATGACAACCAGCCGTGAAGAGCAATAACTGTTGGCCAAGATATGATCAAGATGTGCCTACAAGCTGAATAAGCTCCATAAGTTAAAACACCCAAGTACTGAGAGTACTTGAAGCACCCTTAGCATCTCCAAGGACTAAACTTTAGCTAGCTTCTTTTTATACATAAATGATACTGATACAGCTAGCTGTGCTCTTTCTCCTACTTCCAAGAGAAAGATATTTTTATGTATGTATGTATGTATGTATGTATGTATGTATGTATGTATGTATGTATGTATGTATGTATGTATGTATGTATGTATGTATGTATGTATGTATGTATGTATGTATGTATGTATGCATGCA